AAACTGGTTTCTTGAACATGACAATGAGTTCACTGTACTCCGATGGCCTCCATATTCAGTAGTGCAGCCTTCAGACTCGATGGAACAGAAAATTCACATCATGAACAACTCCGCAGCAACTTTGTGATGCTGTCACATCGATATGGAGAACAATCTCTGGGAAATGTTTCCAGGACCTTGTTGGATCTGTGTCATGGAAAGTACTAGCAAGATGTAACAAATAAAGTAACCAGTATACAGGGAGTGCAGAATTATTAGGAAAGTTGTATTTTTGAGGAATAATGTTATTATTGAACAACAACCATGTTCTCAATGAACCCAAAAAACTCATTAATATCAAAGCTGAATGTTTTTGGAAGTAGTTTTTAGTTTGTTTTTAGTTTTAGCTATTTTAGGGGGATATCTGTGTGTGCAGGTGACTATTACTGTGCACAATTATTAGGCAACTTAACAAAAAACAAATATATACCCATTTCAATTATTTATTTTTACCAGTGAAACCAATATAACATCTCCACATTCACAAATATACATTTCTGACATTCAAAAACAAAACAAAAACAAATCAGCGACCAATATAGCCACCTTTCTTTGCAAGGACACTCAAAAGCCTGCCATCCATGGATTCTGTCAGTGTTTTGATCTGTTCACCATCAACATTGCGTGCAGCAGCAACCACAGCCTCCCAGACACTGTTCAGAGAGGTGTACTGTTTTCCCTCCTTGTAAATCTCACATTTGATGATGGACCACAGGTTCTCAATGGGGTTCAGATCAGGTGAACAAGGAGGCCATGTCATTAGTTTTTCACCCTTTCTTGCCAGCCACGCTGTGGAGTACTTGGACGCGTGTGATGGAGCATTGTCCTGCATGAAATCATGTTTTTCTTGAAGGATGCAGACTTCTTCCTGTACCACTGCTTGAAGGTGTCTTCCAGAAACTGGCAGTAGGACTGGGAGTTGAGCTTGACTCCATCCTCAACCCGAAAAGGCCCCACAAGCTCATCTTTGATGATACCAGCCCAAACCAGTACTCCACCTCCACCTTGCTGGCGTCTGAGTCGGACTGGAGCTCTCTGCCCTTTACCAATCCAGCCACGGGCCCATCCATCTGGCCCATCAAGACTCACTCTCATTTCATCAGTCCATAAAACCTTAGAAAAACCAGTCTTGAGATATTTCTTGGCCCAGTCTTGACGTTTCAGCTTGTGTGTCTTGTTCAGTGGTGGTCGTCTTTCAGCCTTTCTTACCTTGGCCATGTCTCTGAGTATTGCACACCTTGTGCTTTTGGGCACTCCAGTGATGTTGCAGCTCTGAAATATGGCCAAACTGGTGGCAAGTGGCATCTTTGCAGCTGCATGCTTGACTTTTCTCAGTTCATGGGCAGTTATTTTGCGCCTTGGTTTTTCCACACGCTTCTTGCGACCCTGTTGACTATTTTGAATGAAACGCTTGATTGTTCGATGATCACGCTTCAGAAGCTTTGCAATTTTGAGACTGCTGCATCCCTCTGCAAGATATCTCACTATTTTTGACTTTTCTGAGCCTGTCAAGTCCTTCTTTTGACCCATTTTGCCAAAGGAAAGGACGTTGCCTAATAATTATGCACACCTGATATAGGGTGTTGATGTCATTAGACCACACCCCTTCTCATTACAGAGATGCACATCACCTAATATGCTTAATTGGTAGTAGGCTTTCGAGCCTATACAGCTTGGAGTAAGACAACATGCATGAAGAGGATGATGTGGACAAAATACTCATTTGCCTAATAATTCTGCACTCCCTGTATGTTTAAGACAGACATTTATTTTAGAAAAAAGTGAAACTGCCCTGTAAAGACCACCGTGATGTTTTGTTTGCCTTCACAGTAACCAGTAGTCCAAACAACAGTAAAATCAATGTCTGCATGTGACTCATTTGGATTTTAATAGCCTGTAATGTGTTATTCTGATCACTGGGAAAGGGGAAAAAAGCCAATCCATCAAACCTCTCCATATAGGTCCAGACATGTGGAGGCAACAATTGTTAGGATTTTTTTCCTTTTGAATCTGCGATGTAAACATGTTACATAAATATGTATTGCTAATTGTTAAATCCTGAATGTGTCATAGATCATTTCGTGGGCATATATAAATACTGTGTTACATAAATCCTGAAAAAGAATTTTAACCCAGTTAGGTTTTTTTCCCCCCTCTCTACACCACAAGAACGAGGCTGGTGGTAAACTGGGAATACAAAACAATAATTATTTTTCCTAATCATAATTAACGTTTGAATGAATCAGCAAAAGTTTGATCGGCTCCAAATACGACAACAAAGATGATGAAACCTTTGCGTTAACATAGACTCGCACAGCAGCACTATGTGAAATATCTCTACATTTTTATTGGGATTTAAAGTGTAATGCATCTGTAGCAAACACAAGACAAGTACAAGAAGCAGGAAACAAAAATCATTGACGCTGCTGAACGTCTATCTCGGGACACCGGACGGGACACACCGTCTTCTAAATTACACTAAAACAACAACCGGGGGGAAAAAAGCCCTTCGAAGTGGAAGTGACACATCCTTACTCTTTCACTCTCAACCCTTCCTCAATCACTCACATGCACAAACACATCTCCATGGAAACTGTTAAAAGAATAGGTGGTGTGCAAAAAGACTGACAAAGCATAACATATACTAGAACTGGGGCGGTCAGCGTGAAAAACATTTATAGGTAGGGGGGGGAAAAAGGGAAACTTTTATAGGATCTAAGCAGAGAGGGTTCATTAAATGGGAAGGAAACACAAAATTAGGCCAGCTGTAATGTATAATAATTACATAATTTAAGTAGCTTGTCCATTTCAGACTGTGTGTTTGATTTAGATGGTGGGGGGGGGGGGGAGGCATAAAGCATCGATACACGACAAACAGCAGAAGCCTTCTGAGTAAACACGAACAAATGAAAGTTACTCGGATGTTGCGGATAGCAGAACAGAGGCGGTGGGCATTAGAAGAGGGGAGAGGACAAGAGAAGCAGTACAGCAGAGTACAGCACAGTACACCACCTACACTCGTCTCCATGGCAACTACCACACTAGAACGAGTGATAATGCAGTTCCCTCTCTTCCTATTCTGAAAACTGTTCAATTGGTACCATATGCCCTGTGCAGTATGTGGGAGACAAAGCTTTCGCTCGTGCGCTGTTGCAGATAATACGAGGAACGGTTAGAAGTGTTAAACTGCGACGCTGTAAAATAAAATATGAAACAACAACACTAAAGGCTAAAAATCTTAACTGCATAGATTACATCGGTCTATCCACCAGAGACGCTGGCTTAGCCCGACACTGAATTCATCATCATGGTCGCTTTAAGGGATAACTTGTTATTCTTGAATAAATGTGTTAGGTTGTTGTTTTTTTTCTTTTCTTCACCAATGTAAGTGGCAGTGTGTGGGCAGACGCCGCTTTCAAAGAGCAAGCATTGAGGTTGATAGAATTGGAAAAAGCACAATAAAATTACTTTATTTTTTTTCCTGTCTCCCCGAGTGTGTTGGTTCCTGCTGTTGGTGTTAATGTGAAGTGACATTTTTCGTGCAACGTCATCGTTGAAATTTGCATCCTCAGAAAGTGCTGAATGCAGTTCGGCTCGGAGTGTTACTGCAAAACTTTGTGGCAACAATGCGAATATGACAATGCACAAAGCGTGCACACACATGGTGTGCTTGGTTATGATTTGGGTTTAAGCAGAAAATAACTAGGGACATTACTTCATACACCGAATCCTCGCTCTGCCTTGCTGAATATCCCTCTTGTGGACTCATTTTGTTTTCTCAAAACTGGCTGGTTACCTCCCAAAGCAGTACAGCTGAAAAACATGAATCAATTTGTTGTTTCCTCACATCAGTTTAGAGGGATCTTTTTTTTTTGGTTTACTCTCATGATTAATGCAAGGTACAGTAAGTCTGTCAGCTCAGCATATGACAAACACAGGGCGAGTAAGCCTGGCTGTCGGATGGCCTGCTGGGAGAACTTACAGATGGCTGATCTGCTTCTGCTTCCTCACTTTGCATGCGACATTGTTTGCATCTCGACTGAGAGCATCTGAACAATGGAGGAGCTTTTATCTTTTTTGACTCGTTTCTACGGTGACTTGACTCTCTTCGCTCCTCTCTTTGTAAATGTGACATTTTGGTCTTAATGGCAACTTTAAATCAGCATTCATGTGTATGTAAATGACATTTAAGTAATGAATTATTCACTTCAGTAGATCACTGCCTTAATAAATGCACCATCTTTCATCAGGTGACGGTAATTTTAAAAAGGTCTCAGTTTACACAAGTGTTTCCGATCAGTTAACACATCCAAGGGGGGGGAGGGGATATTTGGAAAGGTGACATCCTTGTTCTCATTTCCAATACATACTTATGAGTATGCACAATGTACTTTTATAGGCACTCTTTTTCTTCTTGTTCACTTTATAAACCAATTATTTATTTATTGTTCCCTCAATGTGTTTCATTTTTCCAGCTCTAAGCAGCTTCTTTTGGAGGCTGAGCTTCATTATGTAGATCTATTCAACTGCTCGTTTACAAGTATAAGCCAACCAGTGCATTTAGACATGTAGACAGACATGTCTAGGATTTCTAGAGAGTGGTCCAAAAAGGACAAAATATCCACGTGTTGACGCCAGAGGTCAAAGCAGAATGGTCACACTGTTTTTGAATCAATAGGAAGGCAGCAGTAACTCACAACCACTCGTGACATCCAAGGAATGCAGAAGAGCATCTCTGAATGCACGCTGAGGCAGCAGAGGACCACACTAGCTGCCATTTCTTTCAGCTAAAGAACAGGAAACTAAGGCTAGAATTCACACAGCTTAGCAAATTCTAACAAGTCACCCGATCTCGGTCCAACAGAGAACATTTGGGATTTAGTGGAACAGGAGATTCACATCATAGATGTGCAGCCAACAAATCTGCAGTAACTGTGTGATTTTGTCATGTCAACATGGACCAAAATCTCTGAGGAATGTTTCCAGCATCTTGTTGAATCTATGCCAAAAAGAATTAAAGCAAAGGGGGGGGCAGGATGGTGGTGGGGGTCAAACCAGCACTGGCAATGTGTACCAAATAAAGTGTTGTTAGAGTGTGTAATATTAGAACACAGCATTTAATACTTACAGTGGTAGAATTTGGCTCTGTCACGTTATCTAGATAACTAAGGTTCTGCTTTTAGATTATTAAAATTTTGAAACATTTTTATAATGAATGTCATCAGGCGATTAAAGATTTACACATTCTGAACTATCAGTACCTCATAGGTTCACAGGTTACTCTAATGCGTCAGTACAGAAGCAAATGAATGAGTTTTGTTGTCAGTGGTTTTCAAACTTACACACAAATGACCCACAGCTTGAGACTGGGAGTAGACAAACCAAGTCTAAGGGGTAGGACGCTAGTGTATTCCTAGTGCCAGCTTCAAGCCCAGATAAATGGATGTGTAGCTTTGTGAAGGGCATTTGGTGTAAAATCTACGCCAAATCAAATATGCAGTAATATCTGCTGTGCAGAGTTGAGATGAGCTGAAAACAAAGAAGCCTGGTTACTTACGCACCAGAACACAGACTGTTCAGAGATGCTGTGCTCAACATCATCAGGGAATTTACTGGAAACACAGGTAAGAATCTGCTTGAAACAAACAAGTTTTCCTGCAAAGGCAAAGCATCTGCCTGAACCTGAAACTCCAAACGAGATCAGAGACGGCTTCACCAGTCATCGATTCTGCTCCCAGGTGAAGGCTGAATGTAAATCTCCTGTGATACAGCTAAAAAACAAAACAAATTGCTGTTTCTAATAAAATAAATGTGAAACCTTTGATTATCTGAGGCCTTGAAACTTAATTAATTGTATTTGGGGGGTTTAAGAGTGCTGGGACTATGGGACATTGTGCAGGGGAGTAGTTCGGTGTAGAAGGGGTCAAAGGTTTCACACTAGTCAAGCACTCAGCTGTGTTAAGGGCTTACTCTGTCTCTCTGTGATTACACACAGAGAATAAATATAGAAAAGCTAATTTAAGGTCCCAAAGGGATCAGCAAAGCAGTATTGTTCGAGACTGAAGCTCAAGCAATTTTCTGCCATTAACAATTCAGAGAGGAGAAAAATTTTTTTTTATAAAAGCCTCACGATGAACTAGAATATACTCTGAATGCTCGATGAGACAGCCCTGTCTGCATAGAGGCAGATAGAGGAAATAAAATACAATTTAAACTATCAGACTACACATTAAGAAAGAACCAGGAGATAAATGTGGAAGAAACTGCCTCGCTCTCACCCATAAAAGAGAATATCTTATGCTTGCTTCTGTGTTAAAAATTAAAATGTATAACAGGAGGGAGGATTTAAAGCTTTGATCAATTAAAAGTGTCTCAGTGATTTGTCAGACGCAGACAATTAATTAAACTCCAGGGCCCAGGTTTTCCAAAACAGTCTGATGTTTTTTTTAGTTACGGTGCTGGACTGAAAATTAAAAACCAAAACATGACATTTAGTTCTTTGCCTTCTATCACTCAAAAACAAAAAAAAAACCAAATACTAAACTGTAAATTAAGACGGGCATGACAGATTAAATGGATTTTAGCCTGGTGAAAACAAAGAGGATTTTATGATGATGGGCTTATTTTCCCAGTTTTTCCTGTGGTTCCCGCTGTGCAGACGTCCCATTTTTTATTATAAAGCAGAACTCGTTTAACTCTCAATTATTACAAGTTCCCAAAATTTATTTTTTTGATGAGAACATTTGCAAACACAAAAGTAAAAAAAACCCATAAATCTAAAACAAACAAACTAAATAAAAAGAACAATCACAGCTGCCACTGTGCAGATGCACGCCTTTTTCAGCTGATTTCCACACAGACTTCACAAATAAGACTTTTTACATTTTAAGGCCATGCGGCAGCTGTTTTGGTTCTACTACTGTTTGTTTTTTTTCCTTTTAGCAGCTCAGTGACAGCTCAAACCCAAAATGTCAGTTTTTTCCACTAGACTCCTCGTGAGCTGTAAGGACAGAAATAAAAACAGTGTTTTCGATCATTTCACTGAGAATTTCAAACAGAAACCAATCCTTTATCCTCTTTTTAAAACTAATCTATGTAGCAGCCGCACTCTGTTTCATAACCATTTTCTGCCGGGCGCCCTTTGCTGCTGAAGAGTCAAGTACCGTCGACCCTCCTGAAGTGTTCGGAAATCCATGAGCGGCCACGTATTTGCGGTATGCTTCCCGGATGATGCGGAAGGCTCGTGCGTTAGCGTACGGTATATCTGTGACTGGGTCTCGGTACAGCGCGGCCTTGTGGGTAACAGGACAAACCTCCTGGATGGGCACTTGAGGACTCGTCTGGGAGCTTGGCGGGAAGGCGACCTCAAACGCTTCGTCGTCACTGAATGTTATATAAGTGCGGGAGCACAGGCCTCCGGCAGACTGCTGGGAAGGTGTGGTGGGATTCTGCGGTGCAGTCTGGGGAACGTCCTGGTCCAACCTTTGGGAATATGACAAAACCAAGAATATATGTTTTTAAACATAATTATCAGACAGTTGTGCTCATAAGTCTACATGTCCTGGCAGAATTTATGATTTTCGGCCATTTTTCAGAGAATACGAATTATAATACAAAAACTTTTTTTTCCACTCATAGTTAGTGGTTGGGTGAAGCCATTTATTATCAAGCTGTTGTGTTTGCCCTTTTTATATGAAAAGAACGACAGAAAATACCCAACTGACCCCGTTCGGTCAATGTTTAAGCAGCAGATTACTCCAAAACAGAATCAAAAGAAAAACCAGGTAGCATCGAGTTTCTACGTACCCCTCAACATCAACATTTTCTTCTTTAAGGACTGGGTTTGAGACGAGGGGCATAAGGACTGAATGGTAACGGATGGTTGGTCCTTCAAAACGCCGCTTCTTGTGGACTTGTTTCTTCTTGTCTGCCTCCAGACGTTCGTAGTTTTCTGAAGACGTGAAGTAAAAATCAGCAACACTGATGTGTTTTGTTATACCGCACAAACAGCTTTAGGTAAAGTATTGGTGGAACTATACTGATTTACATTACAATCACGGGCTCTTCCAATCCTGATTAATAGATAATTATAATGTTCAGCTTACATAACTGGCAACGTGATACTCAGTACTCGCACATCCTGGAGTGCTTAACAGGATGCTTTCTGTCTGGTATCATTTCTGTTTTCTATGTTTCTGCTAAGACACACTAATCTCGACATTGGTTCTCTCTTTGCATAACAGGAAAGATAACCAAGAGTCCTGAATTACCCAAAGTTTGTGCAGATATTTAAAGAGTAACTCTCCAACATGTTCTCACCAAGTGATCGAATGTTGATCTCGGCTGTTATTTTCGCCTCAGCCAGCAGCTCTTCCTGGGTGAGGGGTCGGTCACGATGAGCGCCTCGTCGCCTTCGCGGGGCGTCCTGGCGTTCTTGTAAGCGCAGATTCGTCTTTCGTGTATGTTCACTGGTGGACTGTCGGACAGACTTCCGAGCTACACAAGAATTAAGAAATGCAGTGTTAAAAAAAAACAGCTGAATAAAACTTTTTAAACATGTTTGTAACTTTCCCACAATATTATGATCCATTCACTGAATGCACACAACTGGGAGGTTTATGCATCCTTCTTTTCAAATAAAAGGAAAACACTATGGAAGCATTAGTAGGAGGTTTAGAGAAATCTTACTCTCTGCAAAATCTTGGAATTCTTGTGGAATCCTCCTTTTTGGCTCCACTTTAGTTTTCTCCGTCTTCTTCTGCTCCTCTGTTCTTTTAGGTTTGGGTTTTGGCACTTTTATTGGTTCCTTGGATTAAACAAAGACAGAGAGCATTTTCAATTCGCATCTGTTTCACTGACATTCAGTTTGAGGAAGAAGATGAAAAACATTAAATGTTATGCTATAATCACACATTAAACATGTTCATGCCAGGAAATAAAAAATATATTAATATTAAAAACAATGCAAACTGTTATGTTAAAGGATTTTTTTTAAATCAGTTTGTTTTTAACAAATGTTAATACATGTCATTTGACAACCAGTGGCTTCTGTGGAGCTGCAGAGCAGTTTTAACCTTCGGCTGACTGACTGAGGTCATTTATATGTGTCAGTATGACATTTTTAAATCAAAAATCTTTCCTACAATGATTTTGTCCTTCAGCTCTTCATAGATTTTTAAAGGATTTGGCCCATCTGTGAGCCAAGGATAATGTACTGTTTAGATACCACTTTTCTAATCTCACTGAGTACTCCGATTCACTGCTGCAGAAGCCTTGAGGCAGATACTTAATGCCAATATGATGTGGAAAACAGCGAAACTGACAGAGATAAGAGGCTTAACTCCTTTTACCATAAAAATATAAAACATCATTAATTATATGTTAGAATATCTGGCACAGATAAAGGAAACAGCAAAGGTGAAACAGGCACAAACAGAAACAGAGCCACTTAAAAGAGTATTTCTGTGTAAAATATAATGGGGACATTAGTGGTCCGACTTGGCCATTAGTTGCTAAAAAGCTTGTTCACCTGAGGGATAAGGAGCACATGTGTGCAACTGTACCCATGTGGGGCTGAAGGACAACACAGCGATTAAAAAAAGGTGGTAAATAGTACTTTTCCTTTTCCTTTTCTTTTAAAGGGAAAAACAAATAGTTTCCATCTTTGTTTTTCAAGTCCGCTGCAAAGTGATACATGATGACACAAGGTATTAGGGCAATTAAATTCAGCTTAGCTCAAAGTTTGATTGGTCCTGCATTACCTTGTAAGCTTTGGTGACAACCCGACTTTTCCTTCGAGGTGCGTCCTCCTCCTGGTCACTGTCCGGCTCGTCACCCTCATCGATGTCGAAGTCACTGTCAACCTCGTCCTCTGTGTCTGAATGTTCTCCGTGATACTCATCATCTCCCGATTCCTGAACGACAAACAAATGGAGCAATAAATAAAAATCAGGAAAAGAAAAGAACAGCAGAACAAACCATCTGCAAGTAATCCGAGACATACCAGCAAAGACACCAAACACCAAATTTCCTCTGCATTTTTTCTAAGTGTAGTCTTCAGGCCTATTGATTAAAATCTTACACTTTTGTATCTGGCAAGTGTGTAGCTATGTATGCAAAGTCACATCCCATTAAGAGATTCAGTAATAAACAGATTATTTATTTTTAATAAAGATGTTTCCCCTCATTGTCAAAGCTACATCACAAAACTCAAACAAGCAGCCTTAAGCCCAAACCAGGTGCAAAGATAAATAAAATAACACAAATGCATTATGTGCACTAACAATGTGAATTTTCACATTTCTTAAAATAAATGTGGGTCATTTTGAAACCCAACATCCAACGACAGTAAAGATTTAGAAAGCAGCACAAGACAAAAATATCCCTGAAAACTGAACAGATAAAGGAAGCGTTTGCACACACAGGCACGTTCACAGTGCTTTATCAAAGTCCCAGCAGAGATGACTGAGGCATCTCAGGATCTGTTTGTGATTTTTTTATGAAGCCACTCTTGTCAGAACTGCCAGAGCTGCCGCTGCCAAATCCCCCTACACAAGGTGACCCCTGAACCAGCAGCTGTTTGAAGAAAATTAGCCACACTGTAAATTGAGGAAACAAATTAGCATCTTCAAAAGCAAACCATAACGTGTGAGATTGCTACAGCATCAAATGTTCTGACAAACAATATCACACAACTTTCTTCTCTCTTCAAGCGTGAAGCGGGAAAAGCTGGCATCATCTAAGCTCTGTTTACAGCTGGTGTTCAAACTATAATTGTAAGGCCAGCTCTAAACTAAGTCACGGTCACCATTTCGAATGAACAGTGGCAAGACGCACTCATTTTTAGATGTGTCCTTTTAATTCACCTCATTTCTCTTATAGTTCCAAAACTGTACTCTCAGATGTGAGAACCCCAGCCTGATGAAGAGCTTTCTCCATCTATCTTTCCATTTTGTGCTGCTAATCCATGTCCAGGTCATAGGCACAGCAGTCTAAGTAGAGAAGCCCCAGACCTCCCTCTACTGGGTCTGCTCCAGGGCTACCTCCTGCTAATACACACTCAAAACACCTCCCCTGGGAGGCATCATATTCCAATTCTTGACCCACCCCAACCGGCTCCTTCTGATATGTAAAGTAGACGCTATACTCAAATCACTGAGCTCCTCATTCTTTCTCTAAAGCCGAGCCCAGACACCATTTGGAGGAAACTGATTTCTGACGCTTGCATTTGCAATCTCGTTCTTACCCACAGCTCGTGGTCATAGCGAGGGTAGGAACACAGATCGACTGGTAAAATCGACAGCTTCGCTTTCACACTCAGTTTTCGCTCTTGTCAAAATCCAAAATCTGATGAGATTGTTTTTCAACATTACTACGGAAATGATGGCAGGAATGGTTACTGTTAAAAATCACAATCAAACACGACTCCCCAATTACCAGTGAGAGTTAATCAACTTTTAAACCACAACCTCAGCCTAGTAGAGAGGAAGTAAGTGCTTTCAGCAATGCACTACTAAATTTATGATACAAGACCCAATAAACCCCAACAAATATAAATAAATAAACATTTTATTGATCTGCCCTAACAAGAACATGATAAAACTAAAATAGCTTTTAAAATTGCTGTTTACATGATGCACATAACCCTTTAGTCAAGAGCTTCCTGACAAACTCTTTAAAAGTATTGAAGTATAATGCAGCGGCCCTGCCATATATGATACTCTCATTAGGATTTAATACTAAAATAAACGTGTGAAGATGTGCTGGCTTGTCTAAAAGGTCCGGATCGTGTAATGCTGTGAGAGTCTGATTTATATCAGTGAGACCCACTCCCAGTCATGTTAGTCTCAAAATAGTGAGAGATGTCTCCTGTACTAGTGCATGGTCAGTAGCCTGGCAGAAACTAAATTCTTCCGTTGTATTAATGTGTAAATAATATAAATAAGTGAGTTGGCTGCCGGCTTCATTGTCGGGCAGCAAATAGGTATGAACCAATTTCCCCAAAATTGAGCAGCAGTATTTCAGGCATTGCAAAAAACAATAAACTTTGTTTTTTGCAGGCTCTAGTTATTAACACTGGAGCCGGCTAATGCTAACTCTTTATTATCGCGCTCTGTTTATCAGTTTGGTTACTCACATCGTTGAAGCCTCCGTAAGTGGTCTTGTAGAACTCATCCTCTTCTTCAGCATCCAGTAGTTTGGACATACGGTTTCCCGCAGTCTTTCTGGGTTCGCGGCCAACTGCGAGGCTCATGATTGTGGTTTCAAAATATGCTAATCAATGCTAAGCTACTTAGCTCGTTATGTTACGCTAAAAGATATAGATCGTTTTGCGGGAACCTCTTTGACCTCGTCGTTACTCAGTATATTTGCTTAATTTTATGTTGGTGCCCATATTTTTTAGACCCTTTTAAATTCAAGGGATACTTTATAATTTTTCTTATAAGAGACGATAAACACTGACAAATGAAATGTACAACTGACCGCTAGCTCTCATTTAGCAAGCAACCATATCCGGGACTGTTGATCTACTTCCGGGCTAGCGGGCGGACTAAAAGTTTATTTTAGTTGTTTGGCTTGACATAGGAAAATATAATCAATTACACAGTTAATGCGAAGCTTCTATTAGAAAATATTCTATTCAAAAATTGTATAACTGTTTCATGAAACCGAGGTCTTCTTTTGCGCCGAGAAACGTATGCGTTGTCATGGCAACTCTGTAATTTTAGCGCACGATAATGACTGCACTACTCAGCAGTCTCTATCTACTGTTAAAGTCATTTATTTATTACGCATTTATTTATTATATTTGTTTATTGTTATATCCACCCCTTACCGTTTTAGCTGTCAGTTAATGCAGCCAGCTCCACTCATCGGTGAAGGTAAGATAAGTATTACGGTCTACTCGCCCACAATGTAAGTACAAAACTGCTTATGGAGATTTTTTTAAACCTTGCAGTTCACATCTAGACGCATTAAACCAAGTGCTGTGTGTGCTGCTCCTCACTGGATGCTGTAGTGCTGTAAATTTTTAAGTAAGTACACCAAATTTGTGAAAGCATAATCACTTTAATTTTTGTAAGTTCTTGGATAGAAAAATGTAAAAAACAAAAAACAAAAAACAACCAACTTGCATTTCACACATTTATTAAATAATAAACAGTGCAGAAATTAATCAAGAAAAGATCACATGCTACAGAAAAGAAGCTGCATAATAAACTGCACATTAACCTTAATATAAGGTTAATACCGCTATTGTTAGATTCTCCATATCTCATCAGTCCAAATAGTCCACCTGAAGTCCAATGTAATTGTTATTTTAAGTTTACTCTTTAATTTATTTTATCCTCATTTCCTTATTTTTTTGTGTTGCAAGATAAACATGATCATGGTTTGTCAGGTCACATTTCTTAAATGCAATTTAAAATATTATTAATTAAGACAACATGCTCATTATTATCAGATTCAAGCAAAAAACAAATAAATTGAAGCATCTTGCAGTTTATTCACTGATACCTACTAATATCAGGTGAATATATTCTTTGCTTATTGACTCATAACAGCTTCATGGTAAACCTCCCCGTTTCCATATAGCTGCTTGTCCCTCCATTACTGCTCGACATGGCGCTTCGTGGCACATACGCGATTGTGGCTGTGTGTTTTATCTGACCTTTGCCCTTACTCCAGAAGAACATGAAAATGAAACAAACACTCACAGAGCTGAAAAACGAGAGAAACCCTATGGTTGCTGCTATCAGTAGGGTCTTTACATCAAAATTGAGTTTCTGATTTCCGTTCACACCTGGAGCAGCAGATGGAAAGGCAGACCAACCTTTAAGACGAAATGGTTTCTTAGAAGATGATGGAAAGGTTTGGACATGAAGGCTAATGGGCAGGCTGTCGTTTCCCGCTGCGTTTGATGCCACACAGAGATACTTGCCACTATCTTGAGGCTGAGCATAGCGAACCTCCAGCGAGCCATTGGACAGAGCTCGTACTCTGCCGATGGGTGATAAAGATCTTAGCTGTGGGTTTAGCCATCTGACAGATGGCAGAGGGTCACCTTCGGCACTGCAGTGAAACACCACTGTGTGTCCCTGATCTACTTTCAACACCTGAGCTTTGCGGTTAAGAATTCGAGGTGGCCGACAGGTAAGCAAATCCGGCAGCTCAACCTCAGGGAAATCCAGAAAATTCCAGCCCTGCAGCTGGACTGAGGTAATGCAAGTTGGCGGACTTTCACCAAAGTCCATGTATAGTCGCCTTTGCACCACCCAAAGCAAACGGCAGTCACATGCCAGTGGGTTGTTATCAAGCCCCAGAGTTCTTAGGGTGTCCACTGAATAAAAAGCTCCAACCTCAAGTGTGGTAAGACGGTTTCTGGATGCATTCAGCAATCTGAAGTGGGCCAAACCCCTGAATGCTCCGATTTCAATCCTAAGCAGCGATCCCCCAACAAGATGTAACTCTTGGAGCCGGAGCAAGTCTCCGAGAAGGTTTGCATGAATGTAGGTGATGGGGTTAAAAGAAAGGTCAAGGTATACGAGATATACAAGGTGATGTAAGGGGATGTAGGGGAAGGCACTTAGGTTGCCGTGTTTAATGGTTAGTGATGTGAGGTTTAAGCCAAAGAGACTGTTCCCTGACAGACTCTCCAGCCAGGGGCAATGAGAAATGACAAGTTCCTTTAGGTGGACTAGGTGGCGGAAAGAGTAGTTTGGCAGCGTAGTGAGGCCCAGTCGGTGAAAACTAAGGCTTCTCAGCACGCTAAGTTGTGTGAGCGCTTCCATTGGCATAGCAGTAAGGTTGCAGCCATCAAGGTGCAGCTCCTGCAGACTGATTAGTCCTGTAAAAGCTTGATGAGAGACATAAACCAAGTCATTATCTGCAGCTTTCATGAACCGCAGGGAAGTTAATTCACTGAAAGTAAAGTCGAGGAAAACAAGAAGCTGATTGCTGCTTACATCCAGTAACTGGAGGTTTGTTAAGCCAGCAAACGCTCCCACTGGGATAATCTTCAGGTGATTGCGACAAAGGCGCAGAGTTCTCAGACTCTGCAAGCCAAGAAAGGCTTCCACTTCAATTATTACCAAAAGATTGTCACTTAAATCCAAGTCCGACAGCTGTGTCAACGTGTGGAACTGCTGACGCACCAAAGTCTTAAGCGTGTTGTGGGTTAAGTTTAGCAGCCTGGCTTCCTGTGAGAGACCATCAGGAACTCTGGTAAGTTGGCCACCAGAGCAGTTGACTTCCAGCACCGTAGCATTACAGTGGCAGGATGGCGGACACAGCCAACGCGTCTCAGATGTCAGTGCCACCCCTGCTGCCAACAGGTAGAGAGCTCCCCAGCACAGCCGTTGGTGGACGGCGCTCCTCTCGAACATCTGGTGACCTGTGTGCACGAGTGAGGGGATAGATAAAGTGAATCACAGGTGAAAGGAGTCACGGGTCTTTCTGTATACATTTCTTTACTCGTAAATGATTATTTTTGTATCACCACTGCCAGTTAGGAATAGAGCAAAGAGGAATTGGGTGTCAACTTGTCAGATGGATGGTGGCAGAGATCCATTGATGGGGTTAAATTAACTTTATCTAATGCCTGTCTGACTTTAAATCTGTTTAAACTCTACATACAATACACTTTAATTTACAAAACCTGTTTAACACAAGCGATGAATGTGGCAGATGTTAATTTGATCCTCATTCTTTGATTTACTCTCTAAAGCTCCCGAGGCCCTTTGAGATCTATGTGCCTGGAGAATTTACACCAACAAGGAAAGTATTAAAGTGCCCCACTTCAGTGGAAGGAGACAAAGCTTCCCCACTCTCATAATTCCATGGCTAAAAGATTTAACGTTGTTCCTACACAACATTAAGTATAGTGTCAGGCGGGCTCCAACAGTTTTTGTGTTTTTGTTGTTTGTGTGTGTGTGTGTTTTTAATAAAACTTGATATTCAGCTCTTTCTCTGCTCATCTCCATTCCAGCTCCCTCTCTAGAAGATTAACTAAATGGCTCTAATTAGGATAAACAGCAAATGTGAATATTTGATTCAGTCACGATGCTGAAAGAAGCCACTTATCCTCAGTTAAGTGGCAATATGGTTGCCAAGCACTTATTAATTTGCTTGTCTAAGCGTTTTAGACACCACCACCGTCTCCCCCCCCCCCCCCCCCCCCCCTTCCCCCAAATATGAAGAGAACACAATTAATACGATTTGTGGTCTTCTATGGGAAAAATGATCTCTCCTGCATGATCATGCATTTTGACTAGATAAGCCAAAAAAGATGAATGTGGAGAAAAAGATTTATAATTTTAAATCCAAGCCATAATAACATTAAACAAAGACCTTTAATGTATATAGAAAAATAACAATTTCTTACACGTGGCAAAAGTTTGTTGAATCATAACTAAACCCACTATTTAATAATGTGATCCTTTTGCTTGACAAACAGGAGGTGTATATGGAAACAGCTCGTACCCCTGAAGCCTTATAAGGTGATATTTTGTCGTTTATTTCACACAAGATTTAAAAATATACCTTACAGGACCTCATGTGTTCTGATAGAGTTTCCTTTATTTGTAGACCTACAAATATTGGGAAATGTGCTTTTGACTGACTTTAAGTGTTAATAATTTCAGCTCATATAATACCTTTCATTCATCAGTTTCATCATTTTTCTCCTTTATCCTCACTGATGTGACATTTAAGCCAGATTCACATCTGAAGTGCTCTCCAAAATCATCCGTCTGAAACCTCGACACCTGAGCGATTCACTGAGGGAGGCTGGGAGTTGAAAATTTGAGCTCATTATTTTGTTACAGTTCTCAAAGCTCAGGGACAAACCTCCACACTGTGGATTAGTTTAAGAAACACATTCCCCTCTAATGTGAACAACCAACGACAAAATAAAGATATTAAATTAAGATTTTAACTTCTCGGTGAACCGATACTGCAGTTCATTCAACAGAACCCATCTCTGTATGAGATTATCGCTTCACCGCTTCTCCTTTATCTGTTGAGTGTTACCAGACAAAAGTTGCATCACGCTGACCTGAATTGCCCCTTCCAGGTTGCTCGTGCAAAAGCACGGTGCACCTCTCCTCTAAGAGGCTGCAGTCCTGTGGATAATTTTATTTCAGCTTCAAAGCTCTACTCGGAATAAATTACACCCAGAAAAACAAGAGCAGATTGCACGCTCACTGTTTTTGTTTGATTTTTGTGGATAGAGGGAGAAAGAGTAAACCGGCACCACATGAGGCATCACGTACGAGAGTTATCTGTAGTTCCTCGGTTACATGCCTCTCTGGGCAAGATTATAATGTGAGAGTAGCACATACTCCCTGGCCAGTATTACAATGACTATTTTAGATTTTTAAATTATTATTATTGTTATTATTGTGCACATTCTTCAGTTTCTACAAATGATGGAACTCATTTAAGGTTTATTATTTACAAAGATTGTAAAGAAGGACTGGTGAAAGCTGATTAGAAGGTGGCTGTACTTTACGTCAGTGTCTTTTTAATTTTTTTTGGCAAAGGTTTAGTTAAGTTCAGAGCCGCTGAATTATGGATCACAAATAATTCTGATTATTTATAATTTTCTTTAAGATGTTTGTAACAGAAAGTCTCGCAAAGCTTTCACAAAACACAGAAAATACAATAGTCTGCTGTGCAAAGGTTGTCAATCAGACATTACATAATTGAAGACAGTAGCAAACATAGTGCCAGTAGTTATGGAAAACAAAGGTCATGATCTTATTATTCCTAGAACTGTGATCACATAACAGAGACATGCATGACTGGAAGGACGCCTATTACAGCTACTAAAATTTTTTCAATCTCAAATCATCATAAGCTCGTTTTATGTATTTTTATTTTACTTTGCCACATCCGCCAGTAGGTGGCGGAAAAAGCAAAAGCATTTCGGTGCCTAGAGGAAACACTGTCCACAGGCTTGGTGCATAAGTATTGCCAAGGTAGTGTCTTAATGTGTTGCCAGTAAACACATAATGGTGGCTCTGTGGCTGAACATGTGAACATGTAAACAGTTGTATTCCTGTTAAACTTTGGTTGCACGTCGGTAAATACGACGAACGTTGCAGCTCATCAGAAAATGTGCTGTTTGGATTCCCAAGAGCACGAGAAAGAGAGAGAGATAAAAAAGCAACACCTTCAAGTGTGAAGCCACCCTCTGTTTTGGCAGCTCGGCTCACACGTTGTTGTGCTGAGCTGCACAGAGCGTGGCACATGTAAGAGAAGAGATGGTGTGAAAGAAAGAACGATGTCCATTATGTTTGTGACATCTCTCACAAAAGTGACTGCAGATAAGAAAGTACTCGTATGTGCTGGACCTAAAAAGGTTCATTTGCCGCACTGATTTTCACATTCCTGCTGATTCTGATCCTGATTTTACTCTTGTCATCTTTGCTTTCTTAGAATTTCCTCAGTCATTTTCCACATGATACATCCATATAAAGACGCCACAGTGGAGTGCATGCATCTACTTTTCAGGTAATTTTACATCAGCACTGGTGTCTGCGTGGATCTTGGGAGCGGAGTCTGATTGCTGGTGGTGACGGCAGCTCCCGGTGGCATTGAATCACGGAGGAGTACTCCTCCTGAATTCCTCTGGGAGGGCACATGCTTGAGACTGAGAATAGTTTACAGGTGTGCCTTGGCAGTTTAAAAAACTCAGGATGGTGGTGCAAAAAAGGGAGTTGCAGTAGTTTGTAAAGAAATCAAAGGAAAAGCAAGCAGCCAACTCACCTTCTCTTCAGACTGATGGGTTCATCATTGTAATAGCTCCATTTTTACATGCAAATGACTTTTCTTGTGCTCTTTGTTCTTTTTTTTATTGTTCTGTTTTATATTGTTCTACTTTTATACCAATAGAAGAAAACAGAACTAAAAAAAACCCAAAGTAGATGTGCCAGTCTCTCAGTTCCTCCTTACGTCAGTGCTGATCAAAAATCCAATCCAAATGTACCAAGAAACTTCCCGGAGCAATCAAACACATCACCAAAAAAAAAAGCTTCATGCTCCCATTCCTCAAACTGAAACTCTGAGGGAAGCGCGATGCAGTAGCTCAGTCCTCCTGTTGTTCCGCTGTCCTCATGGCAACAACAACCTGGCTGCGGACGCGCGGGCGCTTGGTGCATGCTGGGGGATTATATGCACTAGCTCCTGGACTCCATCCAACACAGTGCACTGGATGACGGGAGGCAGGCACAGGTCAGCCAAATGCAGAGATTTATGTGTAACACCAGATGGGGATGAATTTCAGCACTCACACTTGGAAATAAAGGAATATCTTTTTAACTCTTTTGCCCCATCGGAGGCTTCTTAAAAGTTTGATTAAGACATTAACCACAAGTTCCTCTGTGGTTGTAACACTGTGGCTGTTCATCCAGTTTAAAACTAATGTAAGACTCCTGAAAAAGGAGGGACATTAGGAAAGGTGGGATTTCTAACAGTTGATTGGTCAAGGTCCATGAGACGGTGTAATGACCATGCTTTCTTTTCCACATCAGACTCAGTTTGCCCACAGCTGTTCCCTGTATCACACTATATCATTCTAGCAGGTGGGAAATGTAAATGTACAGCTTAGTATTAAAATTTAATGCAAGTTTGACTCAAAAACTCAGCAAATCAACCAAACCTTGTATGGCCACTCTTAGAAAATCAGGTTTATTGTAACAAGCAGGACTGTAACTGCTGCTGTTACTAAACTGCAACCTTGAGCTTTGTCTTTTAAGTTGTTGTCTTGACAACTGGAGACAATTTTGTATGTTAATGTAAAGCGGGAAAAGCAGGCCTTTCAAAGAAAGCAGGCTACAAAAGTATGAATAAGGTGCCCATTCATGTAATTTCCCATTCATTCATACAGTGGACTGATGTTTGCGTGCTGCTTCGAACACAAGGATTATTTTTTTTCCTCACATGTGGAGCTAAAGCCATGAGGCACAATGTTGTTTCTGTGAGGCAGCAGTGCTAGATGTTACATACCGTGGTGGCAATACTTAACCGAGGTTTTCATTTTCCTTAAATTCCAATTAAAATCTAAGAGTAAAATTTAAATTTTAACGTTTTTTTCTGGTATTTGACTTAGTTCAGAACGTCTCGTGATATTACAGCTTAAAATCCAGAAGAAACTGTGTAACTGTTTATCTCTCACTGCCTTTTATGTTTATGTTGGCCAATTTTTTGGCCTTAGAATATGTAGAAAAAACTAGTTCAATTTTATTTTTGATTTTTGGTGAGACTTTGAATCGAAAGTCAAAGGTCTGTGTTTTTATTTCCATACATTGCTTGCTTGTATGTCAGTAAAGATTGTCATCTTGAATGTTTCATTGATCAAGTTCCCACATTAAGTGTTTCCTAATTCAGTTATTTTATTTATTACTTGACCTCCAATAATTATCCCAGGGGGTATATAAGTCGTTTTTTGAAGTAACCCGTGTAGGGTTAGAGAAGTGTTTAGTGTGATCTGGAACAACAGAGTCATTTCTGTTTATAAGTGTGGTAGAAGCTAAATTTTGGGACCAGGCGGGAAAGTACGAAGAACTAGTGTAGCAATATCATCATCACAGTAAACAACTGTTTCATGTCCAAAACAGAAAAAGCTCTGCAGAGACTTTAAGCAGCTAAATGCATTTATTGAACCAATAATTAAGACTAATCGACACTTGCATGGTTAGATTTAATAAACTAATTATAGTCTCACTATAATTATAAAAATCCTGTTTTTCTATGGTCGGTTCAATTACATAACAAGCTGTTCTGCATTGTTTAGGAGGGGCTAGACTGAAAATGAGAAGTGACACAGGTTCCCGAGCAGCCAGAGAAGCAGATTCAAAATTATTATTATTATTTGGTGTTAACTATTAGAGGTGGACTATAACATGTTCCCTGATTTAAACTTGCTAAAGAGGCAAGATGATTCGATGTTTTCCTTTCCCTTCTGTAACTGAATAAATCTCCTTTAATCGACTGTAAACTGGGAAAACATAACAGGTGTAAATGATTTTCTGCATTTTGAGTTTTAGTTCCTAACAGCCACCTACGCTGCCCTCACTCTTAATTGTACTTTGCAAAGAACTTGCTGAAATTTGAAAGCACTCCCGCCGGATTCAGCGAAAGCCAACAAAACGATCAGGTGTTTGAGTCGGGGGTTGAATTCCCTCTCCGCTCAGCTGCATGATTGTGAGATGTAATGATGCAAAACATGCACAATCACCAACGAAGAAGAGCTTGTGCTGAGTCAGGAACTTACCATCTGCTACCTTAAGGAACCTGCATTCATCAGCAAATCTCCGTCCAACCGGGCATTCAGGAAGAGGCCGGATCAGAGATGGAGACCAAAAATAGCAAAGGCCACCTCAGATCTCCACGTTGCATAATGTCCTTCTGTCCAGTTCTCTTCATATAGTTTCGTCATTGCAGCTCTCCGCTGTGCAGACCGCTGCCATGCCTTTGGGTTTTTACAATATTGTACAGAAAGCTGACAGGAAATGAGAGCGAAGACAGCTAAAAACTTGGTGACCAGCAGATCACGGTATATAGCCACAGTCTCCAAACCACTAATCCCTCTTCTCTTGGTTTACTATCCACTTATTCACGTTGCAGTCGATGATGATCAGCTCACATCTGTTCTTTACATTCTGATCCGTTTGTCTTCTTAAGAGGATTTTGTGGCACGCTATTTATTTACCAACAAATGTACAATCATCAACAGCATCAGCTCGCATCTGCTAATAACACTTTAATTGGTCAATGCACAAAAATAAGCAGAGCACACTAACATATAAAAAAAATTCTATGTGGATTTTTTTCCTTTTTATGTTTGTTTTAAATTGTGGTCTCACATTGACCCTTTTTGCATCTCTGAAAATGCACTTAAAATGCCTCTTAGGCAGTGGACACCTTAGACCCAAGAACCATGAAAAACATATCTATAATGTGTTGTTCAAGATGTAATAAGGACTAAATGTGTTTGTGGCTCAGGAGGCAGAAAGAGGCAGTCTTCTACTAATCTGAAGGTTTGATCCTTGGCTCTTCTCGTCTATATGTCGAAGTGTGCTCGATGTTGTACCCTGGGCTGCCTATATAAAAGTGTGTGTATGAATCTTAAACAAGGTGGTTAGGTATAGAAAAAAATGATGATGGATGAATGTGGGTGTGACTGGGTGAATGAAGCAATTCAGTAATTTACTTTTTCTTGTATGGCTTCTGGACATTCAAAAGTCAGCAACAGGATCACCTCACAGAAGAAGCATAAGCAGCCTGAAATGGAGAAGCTCAGGTTGGGTGGGTTGCAAAGTGTCTTGCAGAGGCAACTACTTGCAAGCTAAAATGGATCAAACAGCATGCCCCATGAGATCTGACAGCAGGATGTGCAGCAGGGAATTCACTGATCGGCTGATCCATCAGTCTTTCTTGCTGGGATTGATTCCCCAACCTGTCAGAGCTAAGAATCCACAGCTTTATTTACATACAACTTTACCAAGTACACTCAAGAAGTAAATACAACAAGCATGAGAGGAAAAGGAGAACCTGTCATCTTCTTGCGGTTATTTGTGGTAGTCTTACAACTCTTCTCTCTTTTGTATCCCAGTAGTTGTTAGAAAAAGTCACATTTTAGATGAATGGCTGCTGCATGTCAGAGTAGAGAAGCTGCTCCTCTGCACTGAAAGGACCAGTATACTTTTTGGAGACCCGCACAGATACAACACAGACCACATCAGATTGAATGACTGGATCATGGTGCATCCGGTGGTTGTTTCCACTTGTATACAAAAACAAGACGTGAGGAAGTTCACGTCAAATTCAAGAATAAAAGAAAAACATTTGAACAAGAATGATCAAGAGTTCTGGCTTGACGTTCAAAACAAGAATCCAGAAAGAAAGAGCATTTTTTAATACGCCTCTTTTAGTTTTCTACAAATCCACAGCATGTTTGAAGGCAAAGAGCCCTGATGATTAAACTGCAGCTTTCAAAACAGACTCGCTCTGACCCTGTGTAATTCGATTTAAATTAGCATCATTAGGCAGTAAATCTGGATTTTGCTTTTGGTTGTGGCAGAATAATAAATTAAGCTCATGTGCCCTTTTCTCATTTCAGCTAACAGCTACAGTACGTCAAAATATGATTCAAAGTCGTGATTAATTATAAAAAAATCTCCCTGAACTACAAAATCAGTTTCATTTCTATCAGTTTATTCTGAAACGTTTTCATTTCGCGCGTATTTCCCTCCACACGCAGGGGTATTTTCATCATTTAACTTTCACCATGTGCAACTCTCATACGGGAAGCCTAGTTTGTGTGGTTGCAGCTGGTCGTAAATTACATTCACATGACGAGGCAGTGAGCAGATGCATAAAAGCTCGCATCAGGAAATAAAACTTCCTCTTTTTAGGCGTGAAGATCTAAGCGTGCTCAAACCGGGTGAACTTGTCTTTCTGGGCGAAGTCATTCTGCAACAAGGTGAGTGTGACTCTTTTCTTTTTACACGTCTTGTTAAATTAATGGCTTGTTTAAGGTTATGGATGTAAGCGAATAATCATATGGTGTCGGAAAAGATTTACTGAGAAAGAAGCTGGGAGATTACAGTAAGAGATTACGGCTTGAACTTCTCTGTTTTGCGATGGAGTAATCTTCAGACGTCTGCTCTGTAGATGAGAATCATGTTTACAGGCTCTTCTGCTTTTGTTTACAGACTGTTTCATTGCAAATGCAGTGTTGTGGTTTTGTGCACTG